TTTTGTTTCTGGGTTTGAGAAAATTGGATTTGTTTAGAAAGTTGATGACAAACTGGAAGTACGCGTATTAAAAAGGATTTGTTACATTAGGTAAGACCATTTTATTAATTGTATGTACAAGGGGGAATACTTCTAATAATCGCTTATGGGAGTATTACTTATGACTTTACAGTTGAACACTTACCCCAGTATAGTGCAGTCTACACCGTTCATTTTGCTGCTACAACAGTGTCATGGTATTATTTAAAGTAACTTCGTTCCTGAAGATAATTACTTCCAGAAAAGGTAACTATTCATCTTTTCCTCTTCGATGTTACACTTACTAAAGTCTCGCCTGAGTTTTTATGTTCTTCAGGAGGATGAAGGTGTTGAAGCGTCATGGAGTAATGAACAGGATGTCATCGACGTATCCCCATCATGTTAACTCCCTGGGGATGTGCACTTTTAACCTTCCAGCTGGCCATGATTACCCTCAATGGTGAACCCATAGACATGCCAATGACTGCTTCTACAAAGAGTCCATAAACCGAGACAAAGTTTGACAAATATTGGTGGAGGTGTAACGGGGGTCAACGCCCCACTGTGACACGGTCCACGACCAGGTTAAGATCATGATTATTTTTTACGAGAAATTAAGTCGAGAGCGTGAGTAAGAGGTTCCCTGGTGAGTAATAATGTAACGTCGAAGCTGCACACTTTCTTGTTTATGATGCAAATGTCTTGATTGTTGTCAATGAGATGCCAGAGTCTAAGATGAAGTGTGCTCATGTTCAGAGGAGTTGTTACCATCATATACACTACAATATTACCTTTGGTATGCCACCCATCCCATCATGATGGAATATGATAGACAAAATACTTGGCAGACGATGCAAAGTACATCCAATAAAAAGCAGGGGAGTAAAGAGTACACTAAGAGAACTCGAGTGTCAGAGGTTCCCGGCTTTTCAACGCCCTCCCTTCGTTCAAAGAGGAATTACCAAAAACCCTCAGGTTATCTTCAAGAGGGAAGTTAAGAGTTCCTCAAATCAGTTCCTGACCAGCTGGGCTGTTGTTCATACGTTGGATGCCTGCAGCCAGAAGCAACAGCCTAGTTGGCCAGCACTTCATCCACCAGGCCTACTTATAGCATAATGCCTCAAACACGCAATCCATAATATGTGAGAGGAACATGACACGGAAACATAGCTAGCTTTATGACTTACGAAATCGTAATGACACGACGTCATTACGATATCGTGAGTTATGAGTTATGGAGGGACTCGAGCTAGAGCTCGTCACGGCCACGCTGGCGGGAGATTCATCTGTATAAACTTGCATTTGTGGTCACAGTGGTGCCTATGCTAACCTCCCTATGGTGTATAAATATACCTAGTTGGATGAATCTTATTGTAGCCAGGTGACCCAGTGGCTGACGCGTCGGTCTGGAGTTTTACAACTCACCAGCGAGTTCAATCCCCGCCCGTACCGTGGTTTGATAGCTAGCTTTTAACACCCCCCCCCCCCACTATTACATACATCACCACCTCATGCATGCAACCTATCTGGAATATGACAGTGAAACTATCATATAGTATAGTGTCACCTGAAGATGATTTCAGGGGGTCATCGCCACCGGATGCAGCATAATGTACCAAATTTTGTTAAAACAACAATTTCTCTAACAATGAATCTCCTCACCCGAACAATCGGCACACCAGCGCTTTAAAGAGCATCCGTCCTTGTCTCCTCTCCCACACACTGCACCCTAATATTTCCGGCCCCACCACCACACACCATCCCTACTCTTCTATCTAACCTTCAGTAGCTCAGAGATACAAAAGTTCTAAAAGTCTCCGACTTCATGCGTCTGTGTTCCTAGCAACACTGATGAATATGACATAAGTGCAACACTTCCATCACAGCTGAGGCATTGAACACCTCACACTCCTGGTTAGTGTATAAGACTCTAGAAGCTTCCTTCTAGTTAGTGTATAAGACTCTGGAAGCTTCCTTCTGGTTAGTGTATAAGACTCTGGAAGCTTCCTTCTTGTTAGTGTATAAGACTCTGGAAGTTTCCTTCTTGTTAGTGTATAAGACTCTGGAAGTTTCCTTCTGGTTAGTGTATAAGACTCTGGAAGCTTCCTTCTGATTAGTGTATAAGACTCTGGAAGCTTCCTTCTGGTTAGTGTATAAGACTCTAGAAGCTTCCTTCTAGTTAGTGTATAAGACTCTGGAAGCTTCCTTCTGGTTAGTGTATAAGACTCTGGAAGCTTCCTTCTTGTTAGTGTATAAGACTCTGGAAGTTTCCTTCTGGTTAGTGTATAAGACTCTGGAAGCTTCCTTCTGGTTAGTGTATAAGACTCTGGAAGCTTCCTTCTGATTAGTGTATAAGACTCTGGAAGCTTCCTTCTGGTTAGTGTGTAAGACTCTGGAAGCTTCCTTCTGGTTAGTGTATAAGACTCTGGAAGCTTCCTTCTGGTTAGTGTATAAGACTCTGGAAGCTTCCTTCTGGTTAGTGTATAAGACTCTGGAAGCTTCCTTCTGGTTAGTGTATAAGACTCTGGAAGCTTCCTTCTGGTTAGTGTATAAGACTCTGGAAGCTTCCTTCTGGTTAGTGTATAAGACTCTGGAAGCTTCCTTCTGGTTAGTGTATAAGACTCTGGAAGCTTCCTTCTGGTTAGTGTATAAGACTCTGGAAGCTTCCTTCTGGTTAGTGTACAAGACTCTGGAAGCTTCCTTCTGGTTAGTGTACAAGACTCTGGAAGCTTCCTTCTGGTTAGTGTACAAGACTCTGGAAGCTTCCTTCTGGTTAGTGTATAAGACTCTGGAAGCTTCCTTCTGGTTTGTGTATAAGGCTCTGGAAGCTTCCTTCTGGTTAGTGTACAAGACTCTGGAAGCTTCCTTCTGGTTAGTGTACAAGACTCTGGAAGCTTCCTTCTGGTTAGTGTACAAGACTCTGGAAGCTTCCTTCTGGTTAGTGTACAAGACTCTGGAAGCTTCCTTCTGGTTAGTGTACAAGACTCTGGAAGCTTCCTTCTGGTTAGTGTACAAGACTCTGGAAGCTTCCTTCAAGTATTTATGTATTCAAAGTGAATTTGGTAGTAATATATAACTGTAACAGTCCTTAAGAAATGGTACAAAAGTTGGTATTTGACCCATCACAGCTGCGTCCTGTGATATTCCTTTAAAAAAAATAGTAATGGTTATAATGACAATCATAATTTTTAAAGGGTTGCAGTGGTAAGCCAGTGGAAGGCCTCTGTCAGACGACTAAAAGCTTCAGCTACGGGTCATCATATGACTAAGTCCCGTGACAGGAAACACTTGTCCTGTTTCCTGACGAACCTTACCTTACCTAACCTAATCCTTTCAGAAGGTCAACTCTTGTGTAGCTATTTCCGAGTCTTCCTATCTGGTTGCAGCGCTTGATATTTTGAAAACGAAAATACACAATAATGTGACTGGAATAATACACAAATAACCAGCACATAGGAGAAAGAGGCTTATGACCACGTTTTATTCCAAGTCGGACCGAAACGTCGTCTTAAGCCTCTTTCTCCTATGTACGGGTTATTTGTATTAATACTTTAATGAACATAATATTCAAGGTTGGGATCTTTTATTGTGTTTGGCTAGTCAGAAACTTTATCACGACTCCTCTTACATAACAGCAAAGAACAAGTATGCAGAACAATCACTGTGGTTGTTCTGCATACTGTGATATCAACTGTATATATTCAGGAAGAAAGCTGCTACGAGTGCAAGCGTCTGCACGAACCTTGTGTGAAGAAAACCGCGTCCTGGCAAATTGTAAGAGGCACCTAAGTTCCCCTGTATTCTAATAACATATTCATTTTTTCCACTATAATCTACCTTGTCCATAATTACTATCACATTTGCTTTGTCTGTTTCGTAAGGTGAAGTCTACGATCTTTCCTTAATTCATGGTATAACTTAACAAATCTTAAATCTCTCCAACACAATTGTCCTCAAAGATTTAAGTTACACCATGAATTAAGAAAAGATCCTGGACTTCACCTTACGAAACAAAGCAAATGTGATAGTAATTATGGACAAGGCAGATTATAACGGAAAAATAAACAATATTAGAAGACGGGGGAACTTGCAGTACGTTTAAGTCGCATTTCTCACATACAGTTTTCACCTATTTTTTTCATTTACGCTAAATACATTAAGTTTAATTAAAGTTAGATTAGACAAGGTTTGGTTAAGTTACACTGTTGTTTACTGATAAAAACAATACTAAATTATTACACACCACAACGCAGATATTATATAGAGAAAATGGGGACCCAAGGAACGCACTCTTACGATACACAGTCAAATCATCACTGTTTAAGGCTGGTGCAACTGTCTTAGCAACAAGTACTGAGACGATAGTCTCCAACTTTATATTTGTTGGTGAATAACATACATGAACAACATCTGGCTGTCTTTAAAGTGTTTATATTAATATTTATTCTTGCTTAGGTAATGTTAACATATATTTATTAACGTATGTTCTTCTTCGTATATTAACTTATGCTTTTCTTTGTATATAAACCTCACCCCTTATAGGAGTCATGAAATGTGAGGTAATCACATTATATCTAAGGTAGGAGAGAAACTTGAAGCAGGTGGTGTAAGCAATGGTAGAGAAGCACTGCAGCGTGTATGGCAGGCTAGCCTCGTCATGTGCGGAACATGTTGGATGGCAGTATAGCGTGATCATGTGCGGAACATGTTGGGAAAGGTTGGGGAGGATGGGCAGGACTGCTAGGGGTGAAGGTGGGTGGAAAGCTTGTGTACACTGCTTGCTGCAGTGAACATGTCCACACCTGCAGTTGTGGCATACCCTGGGTGACTCTGGTTGCCAGCACCGACACTACGTGTGCACTTGCTCAACTACCAGGTGGAAGGAATGGGGGAGACCATAAGGGAGGGTGTGAGAGGTAAGAGAGAGAGATAAGTGAAGAGATGAGGTACAGGGGATGTGAGAAACTGATGACACAACTTACCTCCCACAGCATCCAGCATGCGGTAGAATCTGTACTCCAAGTGCAGCTGGGGAGCCTTAGCCTTGATAGGCTCCTGAAAAAAACAAAAACACAACACATCAGTGCTCCTGCAGTAACAATGTCGGCACACGTTATCAAAGCCCCCACAACCAGCTCTTGCATCACGCCTTAAACTGACAAGCAACAATTATATAAACAAGAACTATACATTAAGACACGATAATATGAACTCACGTGTACAACAACTAACACATGCAGAGAAAGCCTTCGAGGAAGCTTTTACGAAGCTTGGGTACGATTGTCAGTCAGTCCCAGGACATTGCTAAGCCAAAGACGAACCCAAATATCTCAGGTTTACTCTCATAAGAGCAATTTGTCGAATTATTTCTGCCACAGCATTGTGGATTAGTTGAGAGATGTTGCAGTATTGTAGGTTAGCTGAGAGATGTTGCAGTCAAGGTATTGTAGGTTAGCTGAGAGATGTTGCAGTCAAGGTATTGTAGGTTAGCTGAGAGATGTTGCAGTTAAGGTATTGTAGGTTAGCTGAGAGATGTTGCAGTTAAGGTATTGTAGGTTAGCTTGGAGATTGTTGCGTTAGGTATTGTAGGTTAGTGGAGATGTTGCAGTAAGTAATTGTAGGTTAGTGCTGAAGATGTTGCAGTTAAGGTATGTAGTTGCTGAGATGTTGCAGCAAGGTATGTAGTAGTGAGAGATGTTGCAAGTCAAGGTATGTTTTAGCTCGGAGATTTGAGTAAGGATTGTAGATTACCACGAGATGTTGCGTTAAGGTTGTAGGTGCTGAGAAGATTGCAGCCACAGTATTGTAGGTTATTAGAATTGTTCGGTCACGTATTGTGCGTATTGGAACTGTTCAGCCACAACATTGTGGTATTGTGAACTGTTCCAGTCACAGTACTGTAGTGTGAATTTCCAGCTACAGTACAGTGGTAAGTTTTTTCAGTCGCAATCTTGGTGTTGTGACATTCTCCCACCAAGTGGCCGACAGCGTTAATGGTGCACATATCAAAATCTTTGAGTTTAAGAAAACAAGACGGTGGTAGTAGAATATTTCAAAACTGCACAACCCAGTGGCACAAGGCCGTCTCATGCCCTTCAACAGCTCCACCATTACCGTGGTTTTAGCGCAGAGTTGTTTACATTGACTTTGCCAAAAGCCATCTGACAGGCTTGATATGGTGCAATAGCTCCTAAAACATTAGTACAGAAGGAATAATGGTCCAGAAGTGGGAAAATAGATCTTATTTTAAAAACAGACCAGGAAGGTAATGAACAGCATGAAATCGTGGCTCCTCAGTGAAAAACTCCGTTCCCAAGGCACAATACAGGAGTGTCCCGCTTATACAGCAGGTTAGGTTCCAGGCTACTGTAGGGCCCCGTTTATACAACAGGTTAGGTTCCAGGCTACTGTAGGGCCCCGTTTATACAACATGTTAGGTTGCAGGCTACTGTAGGGCCCCGTTTATACAACATGTTAGGTTGCAGGCTACTGTAGGGCCCCGTTTATACAACATGTTAGGTTGCAGGCTACTGTAGGGCCCCGTTTATACAACATGTTAGGTTCAAGGCTACTGTAGGGCCCCGTTTATACAACATGCTAGGTTGCAGGCTACTGTAGGGCCCCGTTTATACAACAGGTTAGGTTCCAGGCTACTGTAGGGCCCCGTTTATACAACAGGTTAGGTTCCAGGCTACTGTAGGGCCCCGATTTATACAACAGGTTAGGTTCCAGGCTACTGTAGGGCCCCGTTTATACAACATGTTAGGTTTCAGGCTACTGTAGGGCCCCGTTTATACAACATGTTAGGTTGCAGGCTACTGTAGGGCCCCGTTTATACAACATGTTAGGTTGCAGGCTACTGTAGGGCCCCGTTTATACAACATGTTAGGTTGCAGGCTACTGCAGGGCCCCGTTTATACAACATGTTAGGTTGCAGGCTACTGTAGGGCCCCGTTTATACAACATGTTAGGTTCCAGGCTACTGTAGGGCCCCGTTTATACAACAGGTTAGGTTCCAGGCTACTGTAGGGCCCCGTTTATACAACAGGTTAGGTTCCAGGCTACTGTAGGGCCCCGTTTATACAACATGTTAGGTTCCAGGCTACTGTAGGGCCCCGTTTATACAACATGTTAGGTTGCAGGCTACTGTAGGGCCCCGTTTATACAACATGTTAGGTTGCAGGCTACTGTAGGGCCCCGTTTATACAACATGTTAGGTTGCAGGCTACTGTAGGGCCCCGTTTATACAACATGTTAGGTTCCAGGCTACTGTAGGGCTCCACTTTTACAGCAGGTTAGGTTCCAGGTTACTGTAGGGCTCCACTTTTACAGCAGGTTAGGTTCCAGGTTACTGTAGGGCTCCACTTTTACCGCAGGTTAGGTTCCAGGCTACTGTAGGGCTCCACTGTTACAGCAGGTTAGGTTCCAGGCTACTGTAGGGTTCCATTTTTACAGCAGGTTAGGTTCCAGGTTACTGTAGGGCTCCACTTTTACAGCAGGTTAGGTTCCAGGTTACTGTAGGGCTCCACTTTTACAGCAGGTTAGGTTCCAGGCTATGTAGGGCTCCACTTTTACAGCAGGTTAGGTTCCAGGCTACTGTAGGGCTCCACTTTTACAGCAGGTTAGGTTCCAGGCTACTGTAGGGCTCCACTTTTACAGCAGGTTAGGTTCCAGGCTACTGTAGGGCTCCACTTTTACAGCAGGTTAGGTTCCAGGCTACTGTAGGGCTCCACTTTTACAGCAGGTTAGGTTCCAGGCTACTGTAGGGCTCCACTTTTACAGCAGGTTAGGTTCCAGGCTACTGTAGGGCTCCACTTTTACAGCAGGTTAGGTTCCAGGCTACTGTAGGGCTCCACTTTTACAGCAGGTTAGGTTCCAGGCTACTGTAGGGCTCCACTTTTACAGCAGGTTAGGTTCCAGGCTACTGTAGGGCTCCACTTTTACAACATGTTAGGTTCCAGGCTACTGTAGGGCTCCACTTTTACAGCAGGTTAGGTTCCAGGCTACTGTAGGGCTCCACTTTTACAGCAAGTTAGGTTCCAGGCTACTGTAGGGCTCCACTTTTACAGCAGGTTAGGTTCCAGGCTACTGTAGGGCTCCACTTTTACAACATGTTAGGTTCCAGGCTACTGTAGGGCTCCACTTTTACAGCAGGTTAGGTTCCAGGCTACTGTAGGGCTCCACTTTTACAGCAAGTTAGGTTCCAGGCTACTGTAGGGCTCCACTTTTACAGCAGGTTAGGTTCCAGGCTACTGTAGGGCTCCACTTTTACAACATGTTAGGTTCCAGACTACTGTAGGGCTCCACTTTTACAGCAGGTTAGGTTCCAGGTTACTGTAGGGCTCCACTTTTACAGCAGGTTAGGTTCCAGACTACTGTAGGGCTCCACTTTTACAGCAAGTTAGGTTCCAGGCTACTGTAGGGCTCCACTTTTACAGCAAGTTAGGTTCCAGGCTACTGTAGGGCTCCACTTTTACAGCAGGTTAGGTTCCAGGTTACTGTAGGGCTCCACTTTTACAGCAGGTTAGGTTCCAGACTACTGTAGGGCTCCACTTTTACAGCAGGTTAGGTTCCAGGTTACTGTAGGGCTCCACTTTTACAGCAGGTTAGGTTCCAGACTACTGTAGGGCTCCACTTTTACAGCAAGTTAGGTTCCAGGCTACTGTAGGGCTCCACTTTTACAGCAAGTTAGGTTCCAGGCTACTGTAGGGCTCCACTTTTACAGCAGGTTAGGTTCCAGGTTACTGTAGGGCTCCACTTTTACAGCAGGTTAGGTTCCAGGTTACTGTAGGGCTCCACTTTTACAGCAGGTTAGGTTCCAGGTTACTGTAGGGCTCCACTTTTACAGCAGGTTAGGTTCCAGGTTACTTTTAGGGCTCCACTTTTACAGCAGGTTAGGTTCCAGGCTACTGTAGGGCTCCACTTTTACAGCAGGTTAGGTTCCATGTTACTGTAGGGCCCCGTTTATACAACATGCTAGGTTCCAGGCTACTGTAGGGCTCCACTTTTACAGCAGGTTAGGTTCCAGGCTACTGTAGGGCCCCGTTTATACAACATGTTAGGTTCCAGGCTACTGTAGGGCCCCGTTTATACAACATGTTAGGTTGCAGGCTACTGTAGGGCCCCGTTTATACAACATGCTAGGTTCCAGGCTACTGTAGGGCTCCACTTTTACAGCAGGTTAGGTTCCAGGCTACTGTAGGGCCCCGTTTATACAACATGTTAGGTTCCAGGCTACTGTAGGGCTCCACTTTTACAGCAGGTTAGGTTCCAGGCTACTGTAGGGCCCCGTTTATACAACATGTTAGGTTCCAGGCTACTGTAGGGCTCCACTTTTACAGCAGGTTAGGTTCCAGGTTGCTGCTGTAAAGCAAAAATCACTGTAGTGCAGCCTTCATTTTTCACTTTCCAATGCATATAAAAGCCTTGTAAAATGTTGACATTATTATATATTAAGTGAACAATAGAACTAGGCCTAGAAAATGTATATACAGTACACACATTACTTAAAATATCTTCATCCTTAGCTTATAGTGAGTGGTCAATATATTTATTGTTTCATACTATGGAACAATGTTCTCCAGACTGAGGGACTGACCACCTCAAAACTTTAAGGGTGATGGACTGATTACATCGTCTTCAAGTATCTTCTGCTTCTATCAACTTTTCTGTACTCGACTGATGAAGCCTACTGTGTAGGCGAAACGTTTCATAATAAAGATACCTAACTGTTGCATATGTGTCTTACCTAACAACCTGTCGGTATTTTATACCATTTTAATGTTCAATCTGTCAGACACTGCAACACAAGGGTATCTTGGTACAGACCTACAATCAACTTCGACAACTTCCACTAGTGAGAGGGGCTGGATTTGAGAGGGACCTGACCTCTCAACATCTGAGTTCTTACCTCTCCTAGTGGCCTACGTCTCACCTCTTGGCGCTATATAAGCTCCATCCTGTCACTTCATCTCCATATTGTTTCATACTATGGAACAATGCTCTTCTCCAGACTGAGGGACTGACCACCTCAAAACTTTAAGGGTGATGGACTG